TTTGGGGTTTGGTTAGGTTTTTGTTTTTTTCTTTTATATAGCTGGCATGGAAAAAGCTGTGGGAGTTTTGGGAACAAACTGTGAGCTTTGTACTTGTGCTTGTATAGCAGGAGTTCTGGTTTGCATTAACTTGGGTACAATGTGACACTGGAGGGAGAATTTCTGAGACATGATTCAGCCTTTGCTTTTTCCTGTAATCTGACTTGTGTAGTACTCCAGCACCAACAAGAACCAGTTCTGCTTATTCCTTATAAGTAGAAACCACAAAAAGATGAGGAATGCCATGCTCATTCCCTATGGCAGCTACAGAGTGGACAGACAAAAAGGAAGTCATGGCTGACTGAGGAGTTTAAAAATAGTACCTCATTGCTGTATGCCCCTGGGGAAGCAGTAAAACCAGTGAATATACAATTTTAAAATACCCAAAATATGTGTATCCATGACAGAGTGAACAACAAATTTACAGAAGAAAAAGAAAAAAAAAAAAAGAAGGTTTTGTGCTCAAGTGCATTAGAAGTGTGAAAAAAATGAGGTGGGTCCTGAGTGCAAGGTGTGTAGCTGTATGCACAGAAACAGCCCAGTTTGGGGCATTTACTAGCACCAGAGGAAATCTTGCTGAAACAAAATGATATTGATAATCTAGGTTTTTATACCCAACTATGGATATAAAGATGTGTCATTACTGGGGAAAATTAAGGAAACATTGATTCTAAATATGTATCTTTTGGGAAAAGAAGCATCAAACCTAGCCAAACAGTCAATTTATATATGCTCCAAAGTAGAGTGGGAAAAACACCCCAAAGTGCTGCTCTTTGACAAGCTCAGTAAGCTTGTACCTCTCATGCATTTCTTGATGTATTCATACACCCTGAAGCCATCTCCTTGTTATCTAACAGGATAACAAATTTTCGTGTTATCTTCTAGAACTATCACTGAAAACCAACATTATTAATTCTTGCCAGATTACTGAAGGTGGGACCTGATACACCAGTCAGAGAGAAATCTTGTGGTAACACTGGTGAAATCTGCACATAAATTAGAACAAGACATGAAGATGCAGCTACAATGGTTGCTCAGTAACAACTGAGGAACAAGTCATTATTGAACTCAAGTATAAACTAATGACAAGAAATATTTGCATATATGCATAAGTGTGTAATATTTTTAAAGGAAAGTCTTCAAGCTGTTTACGAGACAGCCATTAAAGTTCTCTGCTACATGTTCTGCTGCTCAGTGATGCAATTATAGTCTTGCTGTTGCTGAAATGGGCACAATTTCTCTTTATTAAAGCACGAAGTAGAAAGAACAGATGCTGGTGTTATTGCAGCCACTGGCAGGTGACAATGGAACAGGACAGTGTCATTGAATGGTTCTTTGCAAAACTTTTTCTCTTTTTCTGTCACTGCAGAAATGTGTTGCATTTCTAACAATGCAGAGCCTGGCAGGGAGCCTGAAGCTCAGCTGACTGAACCTCTGACACATGGAGCGTGCTGCATGGGCAGTGTAGCTGCAGGTGCAGGGCAGCGGCATTCCCCCACAAGCACTTTGATACAGACCTGACAGTTTCTTGGTGACATTTTAAGGCATTTGCAGCAGTGGATAGACAAGGGGAGTTTAATGATCTCTGCACAGTTACACTGGACTGGTCATCCAGGGATATTTACATTTGAAGTAATGAATTTTAATGGACAGTAGTGTAGTGCTTTCCCCAGCTGCCTCATTTCCTCTCTTGTCTGGTTATCAAGAAACGCGCACACCTCCACTGCCTCAGGGAAGCAGCTGTTATACTCCATGCAGGGTTAATTATACGCCAAGGAACCCAGTGGCTCTTTGTCTCAATTATCACATACGTGACAGAAAAGAGTAAAATATCTACTTGGACACAGATGCACAGCACTAGCTTGGCTTCAGGGAACTCTGAGTTCAGACTAGACGACTGTTCTCAGGATTTGCCTAACATCTCTCTGACTGTTTTTTTAACAGGAATCTATTTTTTCCCTCTTTTTCTGCATGCCTTGCAGTCTTCAAGACTTCTTGAGTCCGTCCTCACTAAACTTAGGGCTGGTAATTACAACTGCTTGCTTAATGTTTCCCGATGTTATTCAATCCATATGTCATGCTCACTCCCTTCTAGGCACGTGTGGGGCATAGTCTGTATCTTTCTGCGTGCAATCCCTCATTGCTGCGATCATTTAAAAGACAAGGGGACACTGAGCCTCAGAAGTCTTGGTTAATCATCCACAGCTGACTATTCACCATATAAATAAATGATGATTCGTCCTCACATGCAGCATTGCTTCACAGCAAGGAGCAAAGAGAGTGTGTCTGTCCTCTGTAACACGCAGGCACAACAGCAGCCAGGGCAGAGTAGAGGGTGCCAGAAATGGCCAGACAAGTGCTTCACTGCAATTGTGTTCAGGCATTGCCACCTCCTGGCAGTGCTTCGGTGAGGACACCCTGCTGCCTTGATGCATGACCTGGCTGTGCAGGCCAGGCTGCTTGCAGATGGGTTCTTTGGCAAACTGGCAGGGCTGACTGTGCTGATTTAAGGGGTGAAAATTATGGGTATTCCTCACTGTCTGATTAAAAGCCCCCTTTTTGCACAGTATTAGAAGCAAGGACAGGCTAGATCAGGGCTTTTAGGATGTTTGGGTGTGTTTTTATGAAAAAAGCCACATGCTTCCCATACTTCAAAATCATACTCCGTGATTTTGTAAATTTGAGCCCTAACTAAATGTGTAAATACAGAGTTTTCCTCCAGTGAAAAGCCATCTTAGCATGTTATCACCTAGTCCTTTATTTCCACCACCCTCCCTAACTGCATGCTGCAGTTTTCTACCCCTTAACTCTGTCCTGACAATTATCTGTAGGCCTACACCACCAAGTGGCATTTCTGAGACAAGTCAATCTAAAAACAGACAACCAGATCCAGACAGCCAAAAGAGAAAAAGTCCCTTCGTGTCAGTTGATGGTGCAGCCCTACAAGTGGGAAGGTCAGCAAATAGGCCAGATTTGCTACGCAGGAAAACATCCACAGAAGAACAGTCAGTCAGCCACTGACTGACTTATCCAAAGGCAAACAGCTGCTTGAAGTGTTGCCTACCTTTCCGCCTTTCTTGGTTATTGTTCAAATTCACATTCTCACTTATCTAGCCTTAGCTTTCCAGAGAACCTGAGCATGCAAAAAAGCAAAATGAAACACTAAGATGTTGCTGTTATTATTTTAGAATACCTAGAACAGCAGTCTGCATCTGAGGGAGGCCCCATGTCATATAATGTGACTTAAGTCTTGCATAGCTGACATCTGTAAGGCAGAAATTCTTAGCTAGCTGATACAGTGCATTGACTCCTGGCATTCTCTAACCTTACAGATTCAGCACAGAATTGCTGTAAATCACTTTGAAAGTACTTAGGTGCAATAACAATATGCATATTTTGGGAATTTCCTGCTATTCTTGAATTGCTCTGAAAGCAGCCCAAGCTTCAGTGGCTTTATCTGTCCTGGTGGGCACCTTTCACTGTCAGCAGGTAAAACTCAGTGTTCCACAACAATCACGATAACTCAGTACATATACAAACTGCACAGAATCAGGATTTTTTACAAAATGAAAGGATTCTTGTTAAGACAGCATATTTTATAAAGTATCTTTAATTAAAATGTTAAAACGGAATCTATTTATTTCACGATACTTTATATTCTCATTGTAAACTTTTACTATGTAATAATGAAGTTAAAAATAATCAAGTAACTCCAGAAAGTGATGTTGCCATTCACTCAGAAGAGAAGAAATAATCCTCTATGTTTGTTGTATCAGACATCACTTTTAAAGAGAGTGAGAGATAGAGATGAATATATCCCTCATTCTAGAAAACTGAGTACTGTCACTCGCTGGTTCATAGAGATTTGTGCAATTTTTTTATAGCTAATATCCCCATAACTGTACTAATTGCACATGTAGAGATAACAAATTCTCTGCAACATAACTAAAGTGACAAAACACGTATGTATAACTATTGCTAACTTCTACAGAATCTGGTCTTGTAGAAAAATGTTTCTTAAAAACAAAACAAAATTAAATCATCTTCAAGGCAAGTCACATTTGGTCACATTGAAACACAGTCTATTACACTCAGTATCTTCCAGTAGCTTGTGGTGCCTTGCACTGGACAGCCAAGACTAAAGTACTAAAAGGCACCAGATATTATTTAACAAACAGGCCATAAACTTAGTAAAAATAAAAAAAAAGTAGCAGTAGTTTCTATATTTGTTTATAGTCTCATCTTTTATGAAAATTATTTGACCCTTTTTCAGTTTAATTGCTCACACAATTTAATTACTAGAGAAAAAAAAATACCACTGCATCTCTAAGAATACTCTGTTCACACAAAAATTAAACACATATATACTAACCAGCCATATGCAATAAATATATCTAACTCTAAATCTTATTATTTATATTCTGCTAAAATCTCTATATCTAGCAAACAAAATGTAAGTAGATTCCTGAGATATATGCAAATGACAATAAAATAGCTGCTTGTAAGTAATAAGTGATAGAAATGTCTCTATTGATAATATTTAAAATGAGGTTGAGCAAGCAAAGCATAAGGGTAAAAACAGAATCAGAAATTCATTCTGTGATTTGTTATTACTCTACTATACTTCCAATTTAATGGAGATGCACACTACATTACAGAAGACTGGGAAGACAAATGCCTTTTCCTGAGATTTGTCCCACAGGACAAATACTAAGATTTTGGACCCAGTAATCTTGTTGTCCATGCGCCCATTATAAAATATTTCAACTAGATGTGAAATTTAAATTTAGAGGGAGTAAAGTGTCATGAAATTCTCACATGCTTTCTAAAGAAAGGTTTGAAGAAAAGATAGAAATGATTGCTATTCCAAGCACAACACAAGGAGCTATGGTGTACCCAAACAGATCCATAGATGTGGGGGCCTGAATACATGTTGTATTGTGAGATCAGTGTGTGTCTAGGTTACTCCAAACGAGCTGCAGCTGCAGGGTCCTTAG